AGATAGATAGATAGATAGATAGATAGATAGATAGATAGATAGATAGATAGAAATTGATATAGATATATAGCTATATAGCTATATAATATAGATATATAGATACATATATATAGATATATAACATAGTATTTATTTTAAGAATGTACCAAGCAGAATTTGATTGGAAGTTATGTACTATATTGAATGTTATAATTTTAAAGGCATAAATTGACGTTTAAATAAGAGTTGAATGGATAAAATTAAAAGATATAAAGGTGTCATACTCCAATTAGTAACTACACGGGAAATTTTTTTTAATGAGAAAAGATAATATGAAATTGAAACAGGACAGACAAAAGTATAAATATAATGATTGGAAAGACATTGAAACTTAGAAAAAGATATATAATTGAATTTAGATATGAGATAATTAAAAATAAAGTTGAGAAAACCAAGGGAGGGGAACAATTATGGAGAAAATGTTAAAATAGTAATAAGATATGGAATAGAACACAAAGATGAATATGAAATTGAGTTTGTGTCTGTAGGGAGAAGTGATAACCCGGGGTCATGCTATTCTCAAAAAAGATGTTTTATTTGTATTATGTTTTTGTGAAAACCCAAATAAAATTTATATTAAAAACAACAACAAGAGAAATGGCAAATTATTTGGCTGTTGCCAAATCACTCTCGAGCTTAGACCATTGAGAGAGATTTTTGTGTAATTGTCAATTAAATTAAACTGACAATTAAACTTTATTTTATCAAAACATGCTCTTTTTTAGCTAAACCATTTTTAATAAGCCAAAAATAATTTGAAAAAGATACCAGTCATTGATTTAACTTGAGTAGGAAACTTGTGTGTGTTTATTTAAAACTACTTTCTCCTGTTCAACAGAGCTTACTTTCACTTAAAATGATTTTAGGATTACATTAATTTATGAAAATAAGACTTCATTGATAAGAGAATTTTGGGCTAACATTTAATATCCCTTTTCATATTGTTTGTTTTCTGAACAGAGGAAAATAGAGTTTTTTCCCTGCTTGATTTAACATTACCAGTGTCTGTTATTCATACCTTCTATCGTACCCAGGGCTATCACAGTGGCGACCGGTGGGCTGGATGTGTCATGTGCAGGCCATGCCCCACCCGCAGCTCTGGGGGGGAAACATTGTGATACATCACATGACGGCAACGTGATGGCGCAAATTTGACACACGTGTTCTAGAGCAATGTTAGTCTCAGCAACTGTAAGTTATGTGGCCTTCAATTCCTAGAATTCCCCAGCCAGAATGCTTTAACTATATATGCTCTATTTCCTAGTCTGATGCCTTAAACGAAGACTGAGTAAGCAAATTTAACAGGTTTGCATCTGCTCACTGTAAACTATGATGGCAAGGAACCGCAGCATAAAATTAGCTGGGGGTGGAAACTTTTATTCCACATGAATTTTCTTAACCTTATTTCAGTCAACAATTTCACTTTAACATACTTAGTAATGGGATGATCCGTGTGAGAATCAGCAATCTCCAGCTCTTTTTTGGATTGACAATTGTTTATTAGGAGCCATTATAAGAAATAATGGGAGCCAGTTTAATATAGTCATTAGGGCATAGCAATAGCACTTAGGCCACCACTTCATGGTGTTTTGCAGTCCTCTCTAAGCAGTTTAAGAGTCAGCATATTGATCCCAATAATCTGGGTCCTCATTTTACTAACCTTGGAAGGATGCAAGGCTGAGTCAACCTTGAGCCAATCAGAATTGAACTCCTGGGAATGAGCAGTGAATTAGCCTGCAATACTAAATGCTAACCATAGCTCTTGAGGCTAGAAGCTGAGAGACTATGAATTCTAGACCTGCCCTGGGCACAAATCCAACTGGGTGGCCTTAGGTCAGTCACTCCTTTTCTTCCCTAGAAAGCAGGCAATGGAAAAACATTTCTAAAATTTTGCCAATAAAACTTAAGGGGCTAATCCAGGCAGTTATCAGGAATCAACAATAATTTAAAGACAACAAACAAATAAATGGAAACTCATGTGTTCAACTGTGTCTTCTCATCTGCAACAGATGCTTCGAAGTAAATTTTCAGCAAACAATTATATGTTAATGTTTCAATTTCCAGTTCTGTAAACACTATATATTTACAGATTAACTCAAAGCAAAGTGGTTCTATATCCTGAGTTTTCAGTGATATGATAAGTACAAGCTTTCATACTAAGGGCACTTTGGCATAATAAACTCACTGTGTGTAACTGATGAGGTCTAATTGCTAAAGGACATTATCAACAGGTGTGAACTGAATCTTGAGAGGGTTCACACCTCTATTACGCCCACCCTCTCCCGTTTGATTAGTTATGACCATCCATCATTGCACAGAAAATTATACTATTATACTTTTATTCATGAATCTTAGCTCCCTCCTTAAAAAAGAAGGACTGGGAACTATGAAGAAGTTTGCCACCAAACTATTTACCAAAGAAATAGATGGTTTCTACAGCTTCTACGAAATCAATTGTAATATATACCGATAATAATAACATAATTACTAATAATATATACTGATACTTTTGGATAGTTTCATATCACATCAATTTTTTTTGTATACACACACACACACACACACACACACACACACAGAGTATATATTGGATCTCTACAAGCAGCACCTCTCTACTATTCTTGAAAACAGCTACTGTCAGCAATTAGACTCTTAAAGTTAGGCCCTCTTTTTCCGTGTTGTGTGTGGTAATCTAAAAAAGTGACATTGCTTTCATTAATAGCAAAGGGAGGGGGTTGTGTTTGCATTCAGTTCAAAGGATATTCCAAATTGTTTTCAAAGGATGCTCTGTCAAGGGAGAAAGTCACAGAAAAAGGGGGAATCTGATGGTATATAATGAATATAACTTTTGTCCGTCGTCACACAACAGTATAACTAAATTAAAGGGGAAATTTGTTATTCCCAGGAAAATTTTAAAAACGTGATTTCTAAGATACAATTAATGCAATATTGTGCTACTATAATGCCACTCTCAATGGGGGGCACTGTAAGATGATGTAATCGAAATACATCTGTAAGAAATAATCACGCACCCCACCCTCCTAGAAGAATGAAATATTTGGGAGAATATTAAAAGAGACAGAATGTTATATTCCCCCAAAGGAGAAATGGAGAAACATGCTTCAGCCCCAATTTCCTGCACAATAAAAACAGCTTCCCACAGAAATCCTTCGAGATGGAGATTTTGGGCCCATTAAGAAGTCTGAGACAATCTATTCATAAACAAAACATCTTTAGCTCCGGGTGATGGGATTAAGAAGGACAGGACATGACCTTTTAGGACATAATAGGATTAACCGACTACCATTTATCAAAAGACAAGTGCCTTCATTGCAGAATCCCCAGAACAGTTCAAAGTCACAGAAACCCATCTAAATCCATCCTCTCACTCAACCATTTGGCCAGCTGTCCCAGAATCATATCCTGTTGGTGGCTGTGCTCATCAATAAACAGAACATTTCTTTCCAATCAGCCTCTATGTTATTTCCAACGTCTGAATGGACGTGGATTTTTCTTTTCCTCTGAATTTGGTCCCTTCATCTACACTGGCGTGGGAGGGAGGAGATCTACACTGTACTTGATCATGTTCTGCTCATGAAATAATTATCAATTGCTTTAGTAATACATAAAATAAATAGTCTTCCACCTTATAAAATAATGAAATAATAACAGGTCTTGAACTATTTATGACACTTTATTCCTTTTTCATCATTTTGGGGCTATTTATTGGTGCTGCAAAAATTCAGATCACCAGTAGATGGCAACAAACAAGATAACAACATCTCCTCTTCCAGCTAACAATTTTGCAGATGTTTGCAGGCCAGATCTGATGATCCTATTATGGGATACATTATATCAAGGGATTATAATTGCTATGCCATTGATTACTTGACTCTGGCATGCTTTCCCCCTCTAACTCAAAAGCAGAGGCTGCTATCTGAAGGCCGAGTTCAATGGGAGGCTTTTATTATCTACATTCCATCTTGATTTCAGTTTGGATTATTTTTTTCTCATGTCTGCTATTTGCATCATTATGGACACTAGAACCAGCTTTCCTGAAAACAGAAACTGTAGGATGGAACACTATTTATTTGAATTAGAATAGCAAGAAGGAAAAAAAATATCCTCTTTTCTCACCCTGTCTCCTACCATAATGGTGGGCCAAATTTTGGTGGCCAAGATATGCTGCCAATGTTTACAATTTTGTAAAAGGACTGAAGACCAGGGAACGGTGTTGCCCAAACCACACCCATAGAGTAGCTTGGTCTGGAGGATTTGGGAAATCCTCCTTTTTTTTTTAAAAAAAAAGGGAGGGAGTCCATTTTAAAGCTTATTGTGAGATTTCAATTTTTTCCACCTCAGAATAAAAGATAATTTGTGCCACTGATTTTGGTGCTTTGGCAATTATAGTCAGAGAGGGGCTTTGAAGGTTGAATGATCTCGGTCAGGCAATCTTAGGGCTGTTCTCTGCTAAAGAAAAGGCATAAAAAAAACCCAATGATGTGACTAGAGATACATCCACATTGGCACCTAAAATAAATGTATGCCATAGCCACAGCTTTCCCCATGGAATGTAAATTTCTATTATCTGGCAAAAATAACCCCTAAAGAATTCTCAATGTCTTTCCCGCTTCTCCCAACAATAACTCCCAGGATTCCTGGGAGAGAAGGATGATAGTTAAAGCGATAACCTGATACAGGTTTAAAGTAGCCTTTAACGGAAGTAAAAATGAAAATATTTTTCTTCCAGCAAAACTTAAAGTATTATGTTAAATCAATACACTACAGTAAAGCTTTGCAACTATTGTAGACTTCTACTGGTATATATTCCTTCCAGCATTGTCACTTCATAAAGGTATCCTTATTGACCGAATGTATGAATTGTAATCAAATATTAATTAAAGCTGCATAAATGTATATATAAATAAAGTAATAATTCTGAAGAATATAATTATTTTTGTTTAAAGGAAATCCATTAATTCATCACAGCAGTACCACTTTTCAAGAGATGAACTTTTATTATCTGAGAGAAAAACCATGTTCTTTCTAAGCTATTTCTTACCATCTCCAATATTTAAAGATGTGTATTAAAAGCATTAATCATTTGAAAAATATATGCTGCCTGTTTCAGCAGGAGCACATTTTAATTTACAAAAATGTTTTGACATTTACAAATTAATAAATTATTTAACAATGCTGTTCTTTTTCCCATCAATATTGGTAGACCTCTGTGTACCCATGTATATTTTTTCACACTGTAAAATTATATATTGTTCTGGTAGCTTATTCATAATAAAAGACCTGCACTGAAAACCAATGTGTGATTTGTCAGGAGTTGTGTAGTTGGGTCTCCTTCTAAGTAAATGTGCATATGATTGAAGCTATCATCTGTCTTGTTTGCAGACAGATGTTTTAACTTTATTTGGAAAACACTGTTATGATGCCATTAGACATCAGTTTTGGAGTGGGTGGAATTAGACAGAATTTCATTTCACATTTTAAATGTTAAGGAAAAAAAAGGGGGAAGATTACCAGAAATAGGGTAAAACAAAACAGGAGAAAAACACGTGTCTTCAACATCTTTGCTCTTTGAAAGCAGATTTAAAAGAATGATGATATTCAAAGAGATACTTTTGGTTTTTTTGGAATATACAGGGTTTAAACTGGGGAATATGAGTAAAAGCCCACTGAATAGGTGGACTCCGTACTGTGAATTTTCCTTAAGATTGACAGAAAGTGAAGAGAAGAAGAAATGGTATCTAGGATGACTTGATGGAGGGATCACAGCATAACTCAGCGCACGTAATAAAGCCAATAGACAACATTAAAAAGGATAAAAGTGATAGGAAAGACCATTCTGGACCACTTGTCTATGGAATTAACATCAGTCAAATCTGGGATTTTGACTCTGAGCTGTGATGCTCTTCTCCGTAGTCGTCCCTTTTGGTGGGCAGTATGTCTGTCCAGGGTGCTTCTGCTGTTGGGGTCTTTCATAGTAGGTGGTCTCCGGTAATGGATGCTGGCACTACCATAAGAGTACATGGTGGCTCTCGGATCATTCAAACTTGCAAGCACATCGGAGCGGCTGACTTCATTTCTCATTTCCAAGGTAGTAAGAAGGATATTCCCACAGGTGTCAATCTAAAGGAGGATGACACTTTAGAAATTTCTAGTGCTCTATCCAACCCCTCCTCAATTCTTGCAAGTTACCCAAAACAATGGCCCACTCCAGATTGAATGATGTTCTCCCCATCCACCCCCCCCCAAAAAAAAGATTTAAAAAAAAGGAAAATCCATTCCTTCTAAGGACATCTTAAAAACTAATTTATTTAGTTCCTAATAGTCTTGTTCCTTTCAGTGAAGTTTAGATTAGTCAAAACTAGCTTCAGCACAATACATTTCAAGTCCCATACTGTAAGTCTGGATATTTTTTTTCTAGTGTCAGCTTATACGGGGAATATTGAGAGAATTTGCTGAAATAGAATCTTGTTTTGTTTTCCTGAACGTTTTGTCATTTTATTTCAGTTTATTCTTTCGTTTCTGGCAATGGCAACATTCTTTATTGTCTATTTTACAGTGACTTTGCAGTACATGAGGAAGCTAAGCCTTATTTAGTGACCACAGTTGTGACCACGATCTTGGTAGTAAAGTGAAACAGTCACTAAGAGAAACTGCAGCTGCACTTACAAAGTATTTTTTGCTTTACTAATCTGTGAAGGTTGTGAATTGAAGACTGGTGTAAAATTACTTTTCATCACCACTGTAACTGTGAATGATTGCTCAATGAGTCAATCACTAAATGAGAATTATCTTAAAATCTAAGAAACGAACATAGCACTTTTTACCCTTGGGTAAAGAATGGAGGCTATTATTTGAGTAAAACCAAGAAGAGAAACAGGGACAATCTGTGATGTGTTTCACCAGGGATTAACAGATTAATGGAGTTGGAAGGGACCTTGTAGGTTATCTAGTCTAACCCCCAGAGGTGGTATTCAGCAGGTTCTGACCAGCTCTGGAGAACCGGTAGCGGAAATTTCGAGTCGTTGGGAGAACCAACAAATACCACCTCTGCCTAGAGATTTTACAGTATCCTTCCCCTGCCACGCCCACCAAGCCACACCCACAGAACTGGTAGTAAAAAAAAAAGTATCCTACTACTGCTAATCCCCCTTCCTGCCCAAGCAGAAGACTCTACACCATTCCTGACAGATCATCACATTCTCACTGAGGAATAAGTGCTCTCTGGTGAAATGGGGCAATAATGCCACCCAGTAAGCTTGGGATGTACTTAGTGGCATCTACAGCATGGCCGGGATGGGATGTGGGCTAGCAAAGGACAAAGAGGGTGCCACCCTGATACTATGTAAGCTTGCCTTCTTTTATTCATTCCTTGTGGCAAAGCCTACGCTCACCAAATCGGTTGTTATGCTGGTAGGATCCGACCCCTATCCAACCCCGCCTCAATCAGGACACCTTATATAGGGGTGGGATTCTACCGGTTCTCACCTATTTGCTAGAACCAGTTAACATTCTAAGCAGTTTGGAGAACCGGTTGTTAGAAGAAATTACTGGCCTAATCCTGTAAGGAAGTCAGGAAGGAAACATTCTGGTGTTGCTTACAGAAACTGCCTCTCCATTAATCCTTATTACATTCTCGGCAGGACGAGACTTCCTGTCTCAGGAACCTCTCTGGAGTTTTTTTCCCCTTCTTTGCTGGTATTTTACTTGTGTAGAGTGACCATTCAAAGTTATAATGGCACTGAAAAAAGGGACTTAGGACCATTTTTCACACTTACGACTGTTGCAACATCGCCACAGTCATGAGAGGCCAGGAGAGGAAATGCATGCCTCAATGTGAGTGATGTTGAGTTGGCCACACCCAGCCAGTCACATGACCACCAAGCCATGCCCACTACCTAAGCCATGCCCACAGAACCGGTTGTTAAAAAATTTGAATCCCACCCCTGACCTTATACCATTTCAGACAAGTGACTGGCTGTCCAGTCTCTTCTTAAAAACCTCCAGTGATGAAGCACCCACAACTTCTGACTGTAAGCTGTTCAAGTGATTAATTGTCCTTACTGTTAGGAACTTTCTCTTTAGTTCCAGGTTAATTAAGGAGAGAAACAACTCATTCGGGAGATAAACTAATTAAGGAGAGGAACAGTTTCCATCCGTTGTTTCTTGTCCTGCCCTCCAGTACTTTGGTAAATAAGTTGATATCCTCTTCTTTGGGGCAACCTCTCAAATATTAGAATACTACTATCATGTCCAGTGATGGGATTCAGCCGGGATAGGCTGGTTCGGGCAAACTGGTAGTAAAAATTCTGGCTGGCCCCGTCCCTCCCCGTCCCTCCCCTCCCTGCCCTTCCCTCCTCATCTCATTCTTGCTCCCAGGGAGCTGCAGGGAGGCCTACTATGGGTTTCATGGCTGGGAGCCATGAGGAGGCAATGGAACAAGAGCCCTGATCAGCTGGGAGACTAATCAGACATTTCAGTCAGACCTTACAACTTCGGGAGATCTTTTTTCCCCTCAGAAGTTGGAAGTCTGACTGAATTTTTTCTTAAAATTGGTAGTCACATGGTCGCCTTTTGTTGCCCTGCACGTAGGCATCCCAGAACACCCACCATTCTCTCACTAACCTGCTTTCCAGCTCCATTCTCCTCCATGCAGGGCAACAAAAGAAGACCATGTGACTACCAGTTTTAAGAAAAAGTTCAGTCAGACCTTCCAAAAAAGAAGTTGGAACTTCTTTTTTCGGAAGAACTTCTTTTTTGGACGGTCTGACTGAACCTTTTTTAAACTGGTAGTCACACGGTCTTCTTTTGCACACTGGAATGCAGGTTAGTGAGGGAATGGTGGTTGCTCTGGAACGGGGTGGAAGTGAGGATTTTGCATTATGATTGCTTATAAGTAAGTAAGAACCAGTAAAAGAGGAAAGGAAAAATCCCTCTCTGCAGATCAGCGTTTTTCAGTCTTGGCAAGTTTAAGATGGACGAACTACATGCTGCCTTGGGGAACTCTGGGAATTGAAGTCCATGCACCTTAAAATTGCCAAAATTGCCACGACATTCATCTATTCAATTTCCAGATCTCTTATCATCTATGTTGCTTTTCTCTACACTGTTTCTAGATTTTTTTAAAAGCATCTTTTTGTATCATGGCGATCAGAATTGGATGCAGTATTTCAAATGTGGCTTCACTAGTGCCGCATAGAGCAGTACTATTACTTCTTGTGACCTTGATGTTTTCCCTGTTGATGCAGCTCATGACCGTATTGGTGTTTTTGGTAGCTGCAGCACAGTGCTGGCTCATAAGCTGTTGACCACTAGGATCCTACATCGCTCTCACAGTTACTACCGTTGAGCCAGGTCCTGTCTATTTTATAGCTGTGCATTTGATTTGATTTTTTTTTCCTGTCTATGTGCAGTATTTTACTTTTTTCACTATTGATCTTGTTGGATTCTTTATTTTACTCTAATATTTCTTGCATGTGTCAAAAATGTAAATTCTCACACCCAGGTCCATAATACAATAAAAACAGATGATCAGTATAAGATGATCAACAGATTTCCCACATCAATTTTAAAGTTTTCTGCTTTATACATACATTTATGGATGTATGGAGTGCACAAATATATTTCCAGGCTAACTTTGAGAGAAATATATTTAAACAATAAATATTGATATTAAAATCACAGATTATTGAATATCTTATACTAATTACTGACATGATGAACTATTGAATATTCTGAATATGTTCTGATGCTCATTCCTTTCATATTCTCTAATTCAAAAATCGTTTTTCCCAAAATTGGTTTTCAATGAAGATTAGGCCACTTTATGAAGCATATTCACATTTGTAATAAGGATTCGCTTGCAAATGATCTTGTTTGGAGCGCTATAATCTTCTGCTTCAGCAATGCTTGTTCAGATCAATAGGAAACTATATCAACTTTCAGAGAATTGGTTACCTGAACTTTATTCATCTCCACTTTCTTCCTCTCAGTGGTGGCTTTTTCTGCTGCTTTCTTCTGGTGTTGAGGGCCTTTACCAAAGAATGTGTAGTTGACAAATGCATATTCCAATAAGGCAAGGAACACAAACACGAAGCAGCCCATAAGGTAGATGTCAATTGCCTTCACGTATGGGATTTTGGGAAGGGTTTCCCTGAGGTGAGTGCTAATAGTCGTCATTGTCAGCACAGTGGTGATTCCTACAGAGAAGGAAACAGTTACCTTTCTAAGGACATACTTCATTTCTGAAGATACCACATCATACAGAATTCCCAGCCCAGGCATCCACCTCGCTGCCTGAGCCATTTCTACAATGCTCTAGTTTTCTATGCCTTTTACCATCTTTTCCGTTGTATCAATCAGATTTGGGAATTACAGCTCTTAAGACTTGCCACAGTGAGTAGCTGAGACCTTGGAGACTTTGGGACAAGGGGAAATAATATGAGTTTGTTTCTTGCTAAGGCAGCAGAAGCTTAACACTACCATGATCTGAATAATATTCCATGTACAATGCTGGCTGTACATGGAAAAACTGCAGGATACATGCCTCAAAAATTGCAGGATACATGCTGATTCTTAAGTTACGGGAAATTGTCTTCAACTACATTTCACCAAGTTAGAATATTTGACCTGGATGTTTGATCTAGGAGCACATCTTCCTAGGAAAGTCTTATGTGCATAAGTCAAAGATTTTGTATAGATGTTTGTGAGTTAAATGTATATAATTCTGACAGATATACATTATTATTGAAAAATCTCTGGCATTTTAAGATAAATTTGCTTCACCATGTTTTCTTCCCACCTGCAGGATTTGATTAGTTGATTACGTGCCATTAAGTTTCTTGATAGGGTCTCCTGTTTGGGTAGGGGGGTTGGACTAGATGCTTACCAGATCTCTTCCAACTTTGGTAAACTAGTCTAGTCTAGTTTAATCTAGAGATAATGTAGATTGTTGATTTTTCTTTTTTTGGTGCTTTCAAACCAGTGTTGGCTTCTGGAGACTTCCTGGACTTGTCCCTGCAGTTTTCTTGGCAAGATTTTTGAAGTAGTTCGCCCTTGCCTTATTCCTAGACAGAGGGAATGACTGGTCCAAGGCCCCCAACCTGGTTTTCTACCCAAGGTGGGACTAGAACTCACAATCTCTGGTTTGTAAACTACATCTATATCTACATCTATAACCTCTCCATCAAACTGGCTCTCTTAAATTGTTGCTATTAACTCCATTTTTCTCTTGCCTATTGTTCACATTTGTCTTTGCTTTTGGTTACTTTTTGTCTATTTTGACAAATGAAATATTTTTTTTATCTTTGATGATATTTAATAAATAGGTATCAAGCTATATATATATATTTGCTAGCTGAAGGGTGTGACATGGTCTGTGCTTTTTGCTCTAATCTGAATACATTAATTGGCTGGAAGGCTGTTGGGTGCAAATTAAACAGAAAATTACCCCCCCCCCAAAAAACAATTTCCAACAGTAGCATCATCCAAGAAATAATTTACCTAGTGCAACTCTTGCAGCAGATGCATCATAGTTGATCCAGAAGGATACCCAAGACAGAATTGTAATTAGAGTGGAAGGCATGTAGGTTTGCAGAATGAAATACCCGATATTTCTTTTCAGTCGGAAACTCAGGGACAGGCGGGGATAAGCCCCTATTTGAAACAAATGAAATGAAGTCATGTCACAAATGTATTTGTTTTCTGGTAATGTTTCCAGTCTATGTTTGCAGCTGGTTGGTGCTTACCTGTTGCAAACTTTGCTTTTTTTGTGATCATTTTGTAATCAATAATCGAGAACTGAGGGAGCTCAATTTTATTAACTCCGCTAACAGCTGATTCCCCTCCAATCCAGTAGAAACCAATATCATCAGTTGTGTATCCATCTGCAGTTAGAGACATAAGCAAGTATGTTAGTATGTCAGCTAAAAGTTTTACAGTTTAAATCTATTTGTAAAGAAAATTGCAAAAAAAGACAAAACATTAGGAGACATAATCTAAATTATAGCACTGTAAATATTTCACAGCTGTATATCAATAAACCCAGCTTACATCATGTCTTTTTTGAACAGGCTACTTTTGTTCTATTTAATACTGCATATTAAATTAACATCCCTTTTTTATGGTACTTAGTAAATTCTTGTTTTAAAAGCAGAGGTTCAAAGTTAAAAGATTTTAGAGATTTTTCTCCAGTTTTCTATCAAATACAACATAGCGCTGCTGAATATTATAACATTTAATGCTTTAAACCAGATCAATAAATTACAACAGAATACCACATTTTAGAGAGACAGGAATTTTGGTTCATTTCTCTGGAAGTAAGTTCCATTTAGCACAGTAGACTTATCTTACCATACAGTGTGTCACTTAAGGGTAACTAGCACAATTCTAAAACTTGAAGAACAATATGAAGAATAGTGAGAACAATTCATCAATGGAACAGCTGGCTTCCCAGAGTTGTGCGTGTTTCATCACTGGAGGTTTTCCAAAAAATATTGGACAACAATTTGTCTGGAATAATATAAGGTCTCTTGCCTTGAGCAGCGGGGTTGGACTAGATGACCTTCAAGGCCAGGGTGGGATTCAAATTCTTTAACAAATGGTTCTGTGGGCGTGGCTTAGTTGGTAATCAAGAAGTAAATTCAAAAAAATAACATTGGCCACATCGTATAAAGAAAACCTATATAAAATTTTTCATAGGTGGCATCTTCCTCCAGTACTGTCCAAAATGTATCAAAATATATCACCCAACTGGTGAAATGTACCAAAGAATATGGATCATATTAACACACAGTACAGCAAAGCCAGATCTGAAAGTTTGCACATCAAGCTTCCCCAGTTAACTTTTTATTTTCTGTTCCTACCCCCGTTATCTCCCCATTATTCAGTCACATTTGCATAAGTTATTTTGGTAACAGTTCCAGCAATGGCTAGCTAGATGGTGAGCTTCTACATTCCACTCCCAAGCCTCTGGCCTTGGGACAATGAGCTGGTGTCTTGGGGAGACATGAATGGTTTCTGTTTTCCCCTCCCAAGAGCTCTCCCCCTTTCATAGCTTATGGCAGGCTGACACCTAGCAAAGCAAGGCTGAAGCACAGGATGGCAATTCTGACACAACCGTTGTAGTTAAGTGACTGCAGGATGCTGCAAATGGCAATAAAAGCAGGCTGGTTGCCAAGCATCCAAAATGTACGCATGTAACTGTGGGGGATAAGCATTGGACCTTTGAATCCAGATAATAAATAATGTTTTTTTGGGGGGGGAAGGGTCCATTGTAACTTCAAGTGGTTGCTAAGCAACCAGTCATAAATTAAGAACTACCTGTATAGGGCATAAGCAAATATATAGAATTGTCTTATATGCAAACAGCATTAGAAGCCTGATCACACATTTGAAAAATAAAGGCACCTTATTTGGAGTTTCCTTTCTTTGGGAAAATAATGTATTCTTTTATTATTTCGAGGGCAATGTTTAAGAGGCAAAGTACCCAACTGAAAAAAATCTCACTGTAGTGATAAATAGATGATATGATGCTGTGCCTTGATAGTTTACAAAGCAAGAAAATTGCATTTCGGCTTCTGCAAAGCCTTGTTGACCTCAAAAAGCATTTGTTTGCTATTTTGTTTGCTATTACCTAATTAGGACAAGGAGCAAAATTTGATAAACTGAATAAATTAACATTGGATAGGATGGCTACATGAAAAGGATTAAGTAGTTCATTGTTCCTATTAAAGTAAAGGATAATAAATAAAGAAATAAAATATATTATAGCATTAAGTAGAGAGTTACTCTATAGATAGGCATGTCTTATCTTGATGTTAGGCAGTTGTTTTCTTATATATGTAGAAGTATTTATCGCTCTAGGCATTTCTTATCTTGCTGTTGTGGAACATATTTCTTTAACCTTTCACGTGTTGTAAAACAAGTAATAACACATCCCTACAATCAGTTACACCCCTCTCCTATTGAGACACATGATTGTCCCATCTAAATCAATCTGAATCCATCTGGTTTACGTTTCACCCCCCTGAGAATGAAACTGTACCTCTCTGGGAATGCAATCTCCTCCATCCGGAGGAATCCACACTTTTTCAAGTATGTTGTTAATAGCCTTATTAAATGGTCAATTGTGATCCATTAGCAGGACAATAGAAGAAGGGATAATGAAAGATAAACACGTGGGAGATTGTGGCATAGGCCTGGCCTGAGAGGGGGTGGAGGTGAGAGGAAAGGATCCTCTGAATTGGTGTCACCTCCTGTCTCTTGCCTCCGCGCATCGAGGAGGTTGAGCAGCTGTCAGTGATGTCCTCAAGGGAAGATGTTGTAAGGGGGAGGCTCACACACCCCAAACCTTCTCTTCCTCCTCGACAGAAGCGCTCATGTGCAAAGCACTCACTGCCCCTCTGGACGCCACAAGCCTCTTCCTCCCCGCTGAGCGTGTGAGAACTTCTGGCGAGGAGGAAGAGGGGGTTGAGCAGCTGCTTCCTGTGGCTCAGGAGGCCCGCGCTCTTTCCAGTGCTGCTCGGTCTCCTCGATGCGCTGAGGCAGGAGGCAGCAGCCACGACACGGGAGACTGCAGGATTGCCCCGCCTCCCCACCTCAGCATGCTGCAGCCCATCAAAAAATTTTCATGGCCCACCGGTTGGCAACCGCTGTTCTAGTCCAATCCCCTGCTCCAGCAGGAGACACTCTTACCACTTCAGACAGATGGCTGTCCAGTCTTTTCTTTAAAAAGCCTAGCGATGAAGTACCTACAACTTCTGAAGGTAAGCTGTTCCACTGAAGGTTAATTGTTCTCACTATTAGGAAGTTTCTCCTTAATTCCAGTTTGCTTTTCTCCTCGATTATTTTCTACCCATTGTTGGTTGTATTCCATCTGATGCTTTGGAAAATAAGCTAACCCTTTTTCATTGTGGTGCTCCCTCAAATACTGGAATATTTCTATCACCCCTACTTTGTCCTTTCTCTAGATTAGCCGCACCCAAATCCTGCAACTGTTCATCATATGTTTTTGTCTCCAGGCCTTTAATTGTCTTAGTTGCTCTTCTTTGCCCTTTTTCCAAAGCCTCAACACTGTGTTTGTAATGTGGTGACCAAAACTGGATGCAATATTCCAGGTGTGGTCTTACTAAAGATTTATAAAGTAGTATTAATACTTCATTAATACTTCTGCCAGCTCCTTCAGAACTCTGGGATGTAATTCATCAAGTCCTGGTGATTTATATTTATCAAGGCTAGACAGGTGTTTTCTTATCATTTTCTTGCTTATTTTAATTTTAATTTTTAGTCTGTCTTTTACAATTAGGTTTTTGGTAACGGGCTATAATTTCTTTTTGCACGGACTGATGCAAAGTCAGAGTTCTTTCTACTGCCTATTACTTCCTTGCCATCTTCCCTCTTTAGTGGACTTACTGTTTCCTTGACTTTTTTCTTGTTATGTATATGTTGTAGCACTTTTTTTCTATTATCTTTGACTTTCGTTGCAAGTTTTTGTTCATTCTGAGCCTTAGCAGATTCAGGCCACTTGCCTGAGTTAAGTGTCCCTCTTTGCATTTTTTTTTGTACTTGTCCTTTTTGTCTTTCAATTTGTCAGAGAGATCCATGCTGTTTTCTTCTTGGATTCTTGTTTTTCTTTTTCAGGGGTATTGTGTTGGAGTGGGGGTTTCCCATGTTTCTTGACTTGCTTTGCTCCTTTAGGGTTTTTATCTATGGAAATTTGCTTAGTCTCTATCTGAGCTTGTTAATTCTATCAATCACATAGGTAGATTTTCCTCATGAAAACATATAATTAAAAGATTAAAGCAACAAAGGCAGTATAGAGCCCCAAATAATATTTTTTTTCTGAGATAAACAGCCATATAAATGTGATTAATAATTTATAGAGACAATGCTGCCTTACCACTGTCCAGTTACAGCACTTACCAAGCCCGTATCTTTTTCTAAAGCGGGGGTCTCTAAGCTTGGCAACCGTAAGACTTGTGGACTTCAACTCCCAGATTTCCCCGGTCAGCATGACTGGATGAGGAATTCTGGGATGATGTCTATCAATCTTAAAGTTGCCAAGGTGGATTTTTGAAACTCAGTAAGAAGCAAACAGATTTTATTTAAGTGCATATGAAAATGTCACTGGAGCATATCAAATGCTTATGTCATCTAGTATTCTGTTCTCACAGTAGCAACCCAAAGACAACTGCTCTCTATTCAGGGAATCCCTGATGACTTTTATATAACCGGTCTGGAAGAAATTTCCTGACACGGAGCATGGCTTCTATTTGTCATTTCTCCTCTCTTGCCATTGTTTGGATATATCTTCCCAGATTGTCCAATTCAAGGGATGTCTGCAAGGGTGGTAAAAAAAAAAAAATCAATATGGCAGCCAGAACGTGATCAAAACTCTCCTGGCGTTATGTAGGCTGGAATGAGGTGTTTAGGTACGGACCCTTGGTCACGCCTCCTTTATACCCAGCCACCCATCTCAACCTATTTACAGCCAGCTTTCCTCCTCCTCTGGCTCTTCCATGGCGATTCTCTATGGCCAATGGCAGGTCAGCCCTACATAAGACAAAATAAGTAAGATACTGCACAGGCATCACATCAAGACTGCCTTCAAAACAGACAGAAAAGTAGCAGCCATCCTAAGAAACTCCAAAGATAAAATTGACCTGGAAAACCAAGGAAAACCAAGTCCCCTGTGCATCATGCCCTGCCACATACATTGGACAGACCAATAGAAGAATATGTACCCGCCTGGATGAACACAAAAATGCAGTAAAAAAGCTGGAACACACTTCCTCACTAGTCCAACACATGAAAGCTACAGGTCATAGCATCGACTTCAATGGTACCAAAACCCTAGCCACTATAGAAAACCCCAGCTACAGAATTA